TGCCCTGATAGTTGGCATTAGGCAACTAGAAATCTTTGTACTCATTGGCTGAAAAAAGGATGGCAAGCCTTGGGTACCATATCTAACGATAAAAGTTGATAAATTCTGTATAAACCAATGCAGAGGAACTCTGAAATATTGCATTCAATCCACATATCACGAATACTTAACAATTCCCCAAAGGGAGCCCATTCCTAATACTTATCACGTCGTTAAAAAAGCAAATAATTTCACCAAATAATAAACCACTTCTTATATTCACTGTGCCAAAACACAAAACATCAGGTGTTCATTGATGTATGAGTAAGAGAAGAACCTGTAGAAGCTGCTCTGCAATGTGACCTTTATGCTATAATGCTGGCTGACCACACCTGGGTGAAAGAATAGATTGCCGGCCGCAGCATCCGCCAGTGAATGCACACCCAGTACTGCACTGACCCTGCTGAAGCATATAACCTGACATAAAGAGGACTGCCTGAAGAGGTGAGAGTACTGAGGGGTAAGGAGATAAAAGAGGTTCCCTTGTAGCACTTGGTGGAAGTAGGGGCAGTGATTGCAATGGCTGACAAAGTCAGGATCCAAAAATTTGCTGAGAGGTCACAGCAATGGCTACATCTGACAAGTGAAACATTATGGAAGTGACAATAATTATTATTACAACATTTATTCAGCACTAAACCCAGGCCCCATAATGTTCTAGCTTCTTAATATCCTTTAACTTATTTAATCTTTATAGTAACTATTTGAGATTGATGTGAAAATGAGGCTTGGAAGAATTAAATACCTCTCCTAAGTTTATCTGTCTGGTGAGTGGAGAAGCCAGTATTTAAGACATTGTATCTGATTCTAAACCCCAAGCTATTTACTTAGGAAAAAAAAAAAGTGAAGAGGAGAGTGATGTGGCTTAGGAAGAGCACATGTAAAAATTAAATAGGGATTTTAGTTAACATGAACTTGGGTATGAGACAACAGTTTGACGTGGCTATCAAAAAGCTAAAGTCAACCTTTAGATGCATTGCTAATTATATAATAGCTCAGATCTGTTGAGTACTGGCCATCTGATAGGCCCTATTCTAAGCACTTTACGTACATTAACTTCTATCTTTACAACAATCTCACAAAGTCTTCCCCTTTATATAGATGAGGGAACTGATGCCCAGAAAAGTTAAAAACCTTACCCAGAGTTACCACATTCTAGGACACAGAATGTGGTGATTAAATGGGGAGAAGCTTCTATCTCCTTCTAGTTATGTACACTGTAAATATTAATATATACAATCTTTATTTGCCAATATACTTTAATAAGGCTGGGAAAATATTTTAGAAGAATATAGTGACATAGAAAAGCAGTATAATAAAAAATTTTTAAATTGACTTTATTTTTGTAGAGCAATATCAGATTCACAGCAGATTTTAAAGTACACAGAGTTTTTAAATACCTTCCCCATTACACACTCACAACCTCCCCCCACCCAATCAACATCCTGCAAGAGAGTAGTACATTTGTTACAATTGATGAACCAACATTGACATGTCTTTATCACCCAAAGTCCATAGTTAACATCAGGGCTCACCTTTGGTGTTGTGCATTCTATGGGTTTGGGCAAATGTGTAATGATATGCATTCACCATTACAGTGTCATACAGAGTAGTTTCACTGCCTGAAACTCCTCTGTGCTCTGCCTGTTCCTCCTTCCCTCCCCCCTAACTCCTGGCAGCCAGTGATCTTTTTACTGTCTCCAGAGTTTTGCCTGTTCCAGTATGTCAATAGTTGGAATGATACAGTATATAGCCATTTAGACTGGCTTCTTTCATTTAGAAATATATTTTAAATTTCCTCAATGTCTTTTTGTGGCTTGATAGTTCCTTTTTATCACTGAATAATATTCCACTGTATGGAGGTACCACTGTTTGTTATCCACTCGCTTATTGAAGGACACCTTGGCAATTATGAATAAAGTTGCTATAAACATTTGTGTGCAGATTGTTGTGTGGACCTAAGTTTTCAACTCATCTGGGTACATATCAAGCAGCATGATTGATAGATTTCATGTAAGACTATGATTAATTGTGTAAGAAACTTCCGAACTATCTTCCAAAGAGGTTATATCATTTTGCTTTCCCACCAGCAATGCATGAGAGTTCTTGTTGTTCTATCTCTTGCCAGCATTTGGTGTTGTCAGGATTTTGGATTTTATCCTTTCTAGTAGGTACATAGTGATACATCTTTGTTGTTTTAATTTGTAATTCCCTAATGACACATGATGTGGAGCACCTTTTCATATGCTTATTTGCCATCAGTATGTCATCTTTAGTGACAAGCTCTGTTCAGATGTTTTACCAATCCTTAACTGGGTTGCTTATTTTCTTGTTGAGTTTTAATAATTCGAATTTGGGATAACAGTCCATCATTAAAGTCCTCTCTGTCTCTCTGTCCCCCTCTCTTTCCGTATATATATATATATTTATTTTCCTGTCAGTCTGTGGCTTGTCTTCCCATTGTCTTGACAGTGTGTTTTGCAGAGCAGAAGGTTCACATTTTAATGAAATCCACCTTATCAATTTCTTCTTTCATGGATCATGCCTTTCATGTTGTATCTAAATGTCATCAATGAGCCCAAGGTAATCTAGATTGTCTCCTATTTATCCTCTAACAGTTTTATAGTTTTGCATTTTATATTTAGGCCTGTTTTGAATTAATTTTGGGGAAAGGTATAAGATCTGTGTCTAGACATTATTTTTGGGGGGGAGGTACGTGGATATCTAGTTGTTCCAGCACCATTTGTTGAAAAGATTACCTTTTCTCTATTAAATTTCTTTTGCTCTCTTGTCAAAGATCACTTGACTGTATGTATGGCTCTATTTTTGGCCTCTCTGTTCTCCTCCATTGATCTATTTGTCTCTTCTTTCAGCAATAACACATTGTCTTTATTGCTTTAGCTACAGTAAGTCTTGAAGTTGGGCAGTGTCAGTCCTCAGACTTTGTTCTTCTCCTCTAACATTGTGTTGGCTATTCTGGGCATTTTGCTTTTCCATATAACCTTTAAAATCCTTTAAAATCAATTTGTCGATATCCACAAAATAACTTCCAGGGATTTTGATGAAAGTGTTACGCTGGATCTGTAGATGAAGTTGGGAAAAACTGACATCTCAACAATACTGAGTCTTCCCATCCATGAAGACATCCACCATCTCTCCATTTATGTAGTTCTTTGATTTCTTTCATCTGAATTTTGTAGTTTTCCTCATATAGATATTGTACATATTTTGTTAGATTTATACATAAACATTGTATTTCATTTTGGGGGGTGCTAGTGCAAATAGCATTGTGTTTTTAATTTCAAATTCCAATTGCTCATTGCTCGTATATTGGAAAGAAGTTTGAATTTTGTACATTAATTTTATATCCTTCAATCTTACCACAAATGTTAATTAGCTACAGGAGGTTTTTTGGTCTATTCTTTGAGATTTTTTACTTAGACAATCTTGTCATTTGCAAAGACAATTTTTTTTCTTTCTTTTACTTCTTCCTTCTCAATGGGTATACTTTTTTTTTTTTTTTTTTTTTTTTTTTTT